CATCACACACTTGTTGAGGGGTAGAGGGCTAGGGGAGGAATAGCAGGGGACAAGGGGATTGGGGAGGAATAGCATTAGGAGAAATATCTAATGTAGATGACAGGGCAGCAAACCACCATGGCATGTGTATACCTATGTTATAAACCTGCACGTTCTGCACGTGTACCCCAGAACTTAAAGTATAATAAATTTAAAATTAAAATTAAAAAATGACAAATGTTTAAAGATATGGTAATTATCCCAATTTGATGATTATATCATCTACATGCATTAAAACATCACATTGTACCCTATAAATATGTACAATTATTTTTTTGTTTGTTTTTGTTTTTATTGCATTTTAGGTTTTGGAGTACATGTGAAGAACATGCAAGATTGTTGCATAGGTACACACATGGCAGTGTGATTTGCTGCCTTCTTCCCCTTCACCTATATCTGGCATTTCTCCCCATGTTATCTGTCCCCAACTCCCCACCCCCATTGTCCCTCCCCCATTTCCCCCCAACAGACCCCAGTGTGTAGTGCTCCCCTCCCTGTGTCCATGTGTTCTCATTGTTCAACACCCGCCTATGAGTGAGAACATGTGGCATTTGATTTTCTGCTCTTGTGTCAGTTTGCTGAGAATGATGGTTTCCAGGTTCATCCATGTCCCTACATCATCCTGATACCAAAACCCGACAGAGACTCAACAAGAAAAGAAAACTTCAGGCCGATATTCATGATGAACACAGATGCAAAAATCTTCAATAAAATACTGGCAAGCCGACTGCAACGGCACATCAAAAAGCTTATCCACCATAATAAAGTAGGCTTCATCCCGGGGATGCAAGCCTGCTTCAACATACGCAAGTCTATAAATGTAATCCATCATATAAACAGAACTGAAGACAAAAACCACATGATTATCTCAATTGGTGCATAGAAGGCCTTTGACAAAATTCAACAGCCCTTTATGCTAAAAACCCTCAATAAACTAGGTATTGACGGAACGTATCTCAAAATAATAAAAGCTATTTATGACAAACCAACAGCCAATATCATGCTGAATGGGCAAAAACTGGAAGCATTCCCTTTGAAATCTGGCACTAGACAAGGATGCCCTCTCTCACCATTCCTATTCAATATAGTACTAGAAGCTCTAGCCAGAGCAATCAGGCAAGAAAAAGAAATAAAGGGTATTCGAATAGGAAAGAAGGAAGTCAAATTGTCTCTATTTACAGATGACATGATCGTATATCTAGAAGACCCCCTTGTCTCAGCTCCAAATCTCCTGAAACTGATAAGCAACTTTAGCAAAGTCTTAGGATACAAAATCAATGTGCAAAAATCACAAGCATTCCTATATACCAATAACAGACTTAAAGAGAGCCAAATCAAGAATGAACTACCATTCACAACTGCTACAAATATGTACAATTATTATGTCAATTACAACTTTAAAAATAAAATAATTTTTCCTGAACAAAAGAAAAGAAAAATGAATAGTTCTATGCCCCATTCTAGACCAGTCAACCAGTAGGGGATTACAGGGTTGGGGAGACATGCAATAATCTGTTAAAAAAATTCCTCAGGGGATGATCACGAACACAATTTGAAGAACCACTGAGATAAGAACCCTTAACTGGCTGAAAGTTAGCCAATAATTGCCCCAGTTTGGTCATTTAGTGACTGAATGCTCCAGTGGAAATCAAATTAAGTTTTTAAGTTTTGCACTGTACCCTGGTTCTGTTATAATATGCACAGAACAGTGGCCTGTGGGTGCCATTTTAGAGGACATGATTCTTTCTTCAAGCAACTATTCCATTTTAGCAATTTTCTCTGCTCTTCAATTGCCTCAGTCTTTTTGTTTTTCCTCATCTCACCATCCTCCTATCTAAACAAGCACACTTATACACAAAGAAAGACCTCTGAGAACCTCTGATTCCATTCATTATGTATCAAGATCTATTTTCCCTTTGTAGAGTCATATTGCAAAAGCATTGTCTCCCTGCCTGTGTATAAGCATATGTTAACTCACCTAAAAAGCTCATCTGGCAACAACTGGCTAGAAAGCTCTAGATGAACATATCATCTATAGACTTTTTCAGGTTTCAACAGGGTAGCCTGTATTTTCCCTATCTAAAGCATACTTCTTTTTCTAGATGTGCAACTCCCCATATAGATACAACCAGAAGGCAAGCTTTTGCTTTTTATAGAAAGCATTCTAGTCTTCAACAAAATAATGGGATGTTATCACATCACATTGGGCCAGCCAGCGTCTACTGTGCTATTAATGTACCAGTTTTAGTGTGTTCTTGCATCATTACAGTCACCTAAATATTCCTGAAGCAGGAATCAGTCTCTTGTGGTTAAAGTTCACCATTTCCATCCCTGGCCATGAGGTGAGATGCTCATTCTAGAAGTCATGGGGTTAACAGTGATAAAACACTATAGCAGTGGTCTCCTGTATCCTCCTTAACAAAAGCAAAAATAAACTTCATGGGGGTTAATATTTCACACAAAAAAATAAGAAAAAGAACACTGCTTGCTCTTTATGTTGTGCTAATAAATTTGACAAAAATTTTTACAGATATTCCCAGCATAATCAATATAAATTCAATTTCTTACAACGGTAAATTGTTATTATTGAACTCACTGCCAAATTTTATTTTTTCTGTTATAATATAATTCTTTGACTTAAAATACTTAAACTGTTAGGTCTAAACAAAAATGAGAATGTTGTGATTCTGTAGGTTGCTGGCTTGGCAAAAATCCCTTTTGCTATGATCTCCTTGTTACATTTGATAATTTGCCACTTTCCAAAATTTAAATGCCATAGTTTCATGTATATGCACTGGTATTTTCTCATTGGTTGTTCATACTTCTCTAGCCATATGCCTATGATAAGTTCATGTGCATTTTTATATAATTTACTGTTCCCATTTGGCAGTTCTATACCTTTAATTGTGTCAATCAACCACATAAAACTTCATAGCCCATCAAGAATACACAAAGAAAAATACGTTCCTTCTAAAACTCTAGGATAAAAAGCATACTTCTCGAAGACAGCTTAAATTTCCCCACACTCCAATTCTACAAACATAGTGTTCTCTAGAACAACTAGAATTCAACTCCTGATACCTTGTTTCATTTTCAGGTTTTTAAATGAATGTGTAAATTATGCCTGTGACCTTACTGAAAGATCCATAATCATGACTAGAAATGAACAATGAAATGATAGAGACATGTATTGTCAAAAGGCATTATAATCAGACTCATCTATAAAACCTCTATAATTATTTTTACTTCTTATATTCCACAAGAATAAACTTACAGGAAAGGTTTTAATGTCTTTAACTTGCTGCATGAGGCATTGAGTTGTTTTAATAAGAAAATAATTATTATCTCCATAGGCTTTTATGATACTCATCATTCCCTATAAAAATTTGTATAGTTATCAACTTACTGGAATATACCTATTTTTTCTTCACTCTCTTGTATTTTACTACTCTAACTCATATTTTACTATTTCTGTGGCTCAGGAATAGACAGAATAAAATGATATTCAAGTTGGTTTCACAGACAGTAAACATGCATTATGAAATTGAAACATGCTATGCTTATTGAGCATATATTTTAGAAGAACTTTCTCTAAACTACTTTATGACTAAAACCATAATCTGGAATCATTCACTGTCCTTGATTTTAGAATTCTGTATGGTTTCATGAAAATTTACTTTTTTAAAAACATGGTTTAAAATTATAGCCTCTGAATTATATAATTTAGGTAAAATATATCTTTTCAGTTGGGAAATTAGTAAAATGCCATTAATCCTTTGCATGATTATGAACAGAGGTAACAATGAAAAACTAGATTAATCTAATTTCTGGATACACAGACTTGTTGCAAATTTTTAGACAGTCTAAGCCAATCCCTGTTTTCCCATTAAAGTCCCTGAATGTTTCAGAGATTTGCCCAAAGTAACATGGAACCAGACTAGAACCCCAATGCCCTAACATCTAGTCAAACTATCCCTAGACCCTCTTGTGCAGAATGTGTCAGTTAGAACTGTAAGTCACAGGTGTATCAACCTGCCAGAGCTGCCTACATTGAGTGAAAGATACCATATCTTATCAGTATCAATATATTAGAGTTGATATTATACAACACTACAGTCATGTAGGTGAGTATAGGAGTCAGATGTATAAGAATCATGCCTAGAAGCAATGCCATAGGGCTGTCTAAATCAAAGATTCACAAGACTTATAACTACCTTGAAGGTGCATGTGCACTAGCAAATATGTTGGCCACAGATTTGCACAGCTTGATGATACTCCCTCTACACCAAATACTGCCTCTTCCTTTTTTTAGAAAGTTGCACCTCTGATCTCACTCTGAATTGCTGGACGTGATTAATGTCTATCTAGTTGTAGGGAGCCTATGGTGAAATGCTAACCAAATCTTTCCTATATTCACCCATCTGGGTATATATTGTACATATACAACTGGGCAACTCTACTTTGTTGTATAGCTTGAGTACTAGATCCAATGGACAGTGATAGCCTAGGTAGCCACTAGGAAGAGAGAGAGAACATTTACACTGGTGATAGTAATGACCATCACACATTCCCACCTGGAAGAGAAGATACTGTGCTCCTCTTTTCCCATCCCCTAAAAATATGTGTGTAAGTAGAAAAGGTGGGGAATGAGTGATTATGAAGAGTTGTTTTAGGTAGATTAGACAATTTTATACTAGATAATCTCTCATTACATTTAATAATGCTATAATAAATGTTAATTTGAAAAGGCTACATCTGGTTGGTTTCCAGTGGAATGAATGTGGCAAAGTTTTAGATTCTTGTAGCACTGAAGCCTACTAAGGCTTGAGTTAGTTTTCTACTCGTGGGAATACCATTCTGCATATACAAAACTTCTTACTTTATGCAATCAATTTAGTTTCAGCACTTACAAAAATAAACACATTTTTGAAAAACATGTTATGATGTGCATTTTCACTTACCTTTTCCGCTGATTGAGCAGTGCCAAAAAAAATTGGAATGAAGGCAAGCCATACTATACATGTCGTGTACATAGTGAATCCAATGGGCTTGGCTTCATTAAAATTCTCTGGTACACCTCGAGTCTTGATGGCATACACAGTACATGTGACCATGAGAAGAATGCTATATCCCAAGGAGCAAATGATTTGGAGATCTGTAATGTCACACTTGAGAACTCCTCTGGCCTGCTCAGGGTTCATTGTTTTATGTTCATCATAGTCTATGATGATATTGGGTGGATCAACACCAAACCAAATGAAAACACCTAGAAGCTGAACTGATATTAAACTGGAAGTGATTGCCAGTTGCGATGTTGGGCTTATGAGTCTGGGAGCCGTCACTGATTTCTTGCCCTGCTCAAATATGCGGTAAATCCGATTTGTTTTCGTCAAAAGGGCTGCATAACTGATGCACATACCCAAGCCCAAGAAAACACGCCGGAATGAACACACTGCCACATCAGGTTTGGCAATCATCAGGAAAGTGATGATGTAGCAAAGAAAGATGCCTGTCAAAAGAACATAGCTGAGCTCCCGCCCAGATGCCCGGACAATGGGCGTGTCATTGTAGCGGATGAAAGTGGCCATGACAAAGATGGTGGCAATGATCCCCAACATTGCCAGGAAGACAGGAATCACAGCCCAGGGGGAGTGCCACTCCAGTTTGATGATGGGAATATCCTGGCAACCAGTTCGATTTTCATTGGGCCTCTGGTCATAGGGGCAATGTTGGCATGTCATCTCATCAAACTGATACTGGTAACCATCACAAGGCTCACAGGTCCAACAGCAAGGAGTTCCTTTCTGTGTCTTCTTTCTCTGTCCAGGTTTACATGGTAGTGTGCACACCGATGGGGGTATCTCTCGGACTCCTTTACCCCACTGCATGTCTTCTATCTGTAACATAAGAAATAAGAAGGTGAATCAGGTAGATTCTTCAAGAGAATAGAAAAAGAACACCAGCAAGAAATGGTACTCATGGCAAGTGACATTTGAGGCTTGACAAGGTTGAACAGCTTACCTCCAGCTTGCAAGAGTTACAAGCGTGATTTGAGCCCATACTAGATGACTCCAGCATCCTTACTCTTCACCATTACAGTGTTTTCAACATGCCAGGTCTTATGAATTCCCTGAGACAACACAAATTCCCCCTTTCCATTCCTGACTTTATAAATATTAATATCCTGAAAAAGAATCTTAGGGGCTGTATTTATAACAAGTGCCCAAATGATTCTTGTGAGCAGATAACTTGAAACACACTGGCATGCACTCTGCTGTTTTTCCCTGGATAATAAGTGTAAATGTCCCAAATCCAGTAAAAAACAAAAACCAAAAAACTTTGGCAGTATGAAAAACTACACTCATCTATTTTGTGAGGTGTTTTATTTTTAAAATGTTCTAAAATTATTTTGGATAATACTACAGTGCTGGCCACCTTCCCTAAAATTCTGTAAGCATTACCGTTATTTTCACTGAGAACTTTTGCAGCAATGTGAATCTATTATCACAGGGGAGAAGTTGGGCTTACTAATGAAGGCTTTAATTGTATTAGTCTATTTCCTCTGAATTTGGGAAGTATTTGATAAGAAAATAATATGGTCTGGAAACCTTTCAAGGTTGGCCATCCCCTATTTGCAGATGAAATTTAGACTATCCTAGAGGAGAATGTATTTGCTTAATTGAAACATTGGTTTTCTGGAGGGGAACATAACCAGCAGTGTTCTGAGAAATAATGGAATTAGAAACAACGGGAAACCTCACCAATGGGCGGAAATCTCATTAGAGTAGGCATCTCTCCTTTTTGTCAGCACAGCATCTGCTCTTTCTCTTCCCTGGTATCAGTTCCTCAGATTTCTTTTCTATAGGCTTTCTGTGGGGTTAAACTTACACTCAAACTCTTGGGTTGTGCACATGACCCTGGTCTAACCAATTAGTATATTGTAGTGGTTCTCAAAATTGAGAGTGCATCAGAATCATATAGATTTGTTACAATGGAGTTTGCCAGATTTTCAGATTCATTCGATCTGGGATGTGGCCTGAGAAAATGCATTTCTAACAAGATCCCAGGCAATGCTGCTGAGGATTGTTCAGGGACCACATTCGTCAACCACTGATACATTCCAACCTCCTAGCCACAGAGATTGGGTCAGGGATGGTATCATTATGTCCCAGATCATAGAATTTAATTTCATGACTTCTTCTGAGATCACACAGGATAAAAATCTTTGTTTTCACTGGACTGAGAGTTTCCAGGGTATAAGGTGGCTAGTGCTGATGGCTAAAAGAATTAGTTTATTACAGAAAGAAGCCAACGCAGAGTGGAAAGACAAAGATCACCAGTGAGCTTGTTTGAGCTCCTGGATATAGCTATGTCTGAAGCAAGAATTTTCCTAGACCATGGCATTATGTAAGCCAGCAAATTTATCTGTACTAAAATACTTTGAACTTCATTTGTATTACTTGCAACAAAGAGTCCTGAGCAATATATTCATGAAATAGTATTAGTATCCACAAGTTACAAAAGATGTACTAAGTCTGCAAGTTATTATACAGAATAATTTCAATTAACAATTATGGCTGATTTTTCCCATACCTAGTTAATGTGATTTTTAATACAATTGAACTAAACAATGAATTAGAAAGTTACTGGAAAGTCTCAGACATTTTTTAAGTACATAATTTTAAGAGAAAAAGGGGAAAGAAAAATAATATATTATATATTGGAATTTCAGTTTTCTGTCAATATACCAAATGAAATGCATAACAGAGAGTGATTCTTCCATCAATACTTGAATGCAAACTACATTCAAATTCATAATTGAATGTAGCTAACTTGGAAAAATAAATGGCTCAGGAGTTAAACTTGGTAAAATAGCATAACCTTCTAATGGTTGAATTTAAACTTTAACCAGAGAACCAAGAATGTTTCAAATGACTCCAGTTTGAACTCATTTGCTTAAGCACAAAACCCAAGTCAGCACCAATAAATCACTAACTATAAAGCACAATCTTTTCTTACTCAGTATCATTTTTGATGCAATAAGTCACTGGAAGCCATCTCAAAGTCATAAAATTAGGGAAATAAATTATAATAAGAGAGAAAGATAGGCACTAATTTTACAAATGTCAATTTCCAAGCGTTGGAGCCTTAAAAAATTCATGGTATTAATACAAGTGTTTTCAAACATCAGAATGAAAGGTCCTACTCATGGCTACCAGGAAAGATTAACAATAACAACAAAGATAAATACACTTTATTAGCTGAACTTGAGATTGCTTGATTTCAACACTAGTGGCTACTAATGTGCCACATAATTAACTTTATCTATAGGAATAAATGTATGGCCCATACCAATATATAAACAAATTATCATTAAATGTAATACTTTACAGTCAGTTTCAAATGCTGCCAACTCACTATTTTTCCCTCTTGGAATAAAATAAAATATCTGGCAATGCTGCACAGCTTTTTTTTTTTTTTCTCAACATATCCAAATATACACAAGAGCTATAACCACAAACATCACATTGACTGATCATTTAATTTGTTTTCAATTTTTGTTTAGAACAGATTTCAACTCAATTTAATTGTATATGTTAAACCAACAAAATTTCCTCTTGCTCCAGATGGATGGACAAAACTCTAATTTACTCAGTTTGTCAACAAAAATCATTATTGAAAATATAATCTCTGTCCCATGAAGGTACTGACTAACCTTTAAAAGCTCCAATAAATGACAATTTTGTTAATGTGATGTATATCATTTGTATATATCTCTACCCATCCACACAGACATGGTGCCTTGTTTCCTAAGAAACAATCAGCTGCAAATGCCCATGGGCATCTATTTTAAAGGAGGATAATTATTTAGCGCTCTAAAAAATCAAGTCTAATATCAATTTACTTTGCAAGAAGGCTAACAGGAATGTAACTTTCAAGTTTCTTCTGAACTCTGCAAAAAAAACTGTGTTTCAGTTAGCTGGAAAGCCAGATGTAAGGTGCAGAAAGATTAAGGAAGAGATATGTTTATCATCTTCTTCATTAGAAAATGCAAGTTTACATTCCTCCATAAGTATGCATTCTCCTAGTACATTCAAAGTTTATGGTTTTTTGTTCTGCATAATAGGTGGCGCCTGGGGAAGAGCTATTGAGATCCCCGCTTTTTGCAAGAGAACGGAACTTTACATCTCCACCTCCTACCAAAAATTGACAGTCTACATGGAAAATAGATTGCATAAATAGGTGAATCAACAGTTTAGGAAAAGAAATTATGCAGTTCTGGTCAAAGAAAGCAAGAATAAGCTTGTTGTAGAGTCCCAAGAAAGTGTTTTTCATTCTTAAACAAGAGGAACAAAGAACGAATATGGTTATTGTTAACTTAAAAACAGAAGCTCAGACAACAGACAGGCTGTCTAGAACAAAATATTTCATTTGAGAAGACCAAAGGGTTGTAACCCAGGTTGTGCAGCACACCCAAGGAAAATTGAGACAAAGGAAAGAAGCCCACACAAATCGATTTGAAAGAAAGCTCACTGGTCTCAGAAACTCACGGCAGGAGTTGTCATTAGTTCATTGGGGGAGATAGTCATTGGTAGGCTATGGTCCCGATCTGAGGTTCTTACTTGAAATACTACAGGTCAGAGAAAATTCCTGTGAGAAGCTCTTCTTGCTTTTTCCAAGCTATGAGCAAGACATTCAAGGTTTTCAGGAATGCAAGTATGACAGCTTCTTTTTTATGGTCCTCACTAACTCTATTTTGGTTAGGGTTTTGACATGTGACTATTTTGTACTTACTTCCATACTGCCTTCAGCCTTTGAACTTTGATTTGTGCAAACATGATGCCTGGAGCTATAGTAGCCAATTTGCAACAAGAAAAAGACAAGCCTAAGAGACAAAACTCATATTGCTGAGGATGGCATAAATATAAAGAAGTCAGAAAGACAGATAAAAAGAATTCACATCGTTGGTAGAAAAATTATATCACCAAATTAAGCAACACTAATACAACTGTTTCCCAAAATTTTGAACATGAAATGATAAACTGTCTTTAATGCCTAATCAATTCTCCATGGGCAGTCTACCAATTGCGGTCAAGCATTCTATCAAATACATTTTCTCTTATTTCTGCATTTGGTGCATGCAAACCTTCTGAGAGGGTCAGAAAAATTTACCAATAATTTAAGTTCTTAGCTGGTTAGTAGGCAACTCTAGAAAGAAATGGAAATTTAGCATCATATGTATTTAGAAACACTAGTCTTTGTCTCCTGAGAATGCTCAGAAAAATGTGTGGTAAAGTACTGAATTCAGAAAATCAGCTTTGACTCCATTGCTTCAGACTCACACAACAACAGAGAAAAAGCACCACCAGCTACAGTTTTCTAGCACACATCTTGGGGGAAAAATGGTGTCTGGCTCTAGTAGAGAGACAAAACTACTCCACAGGGAATGTGCAGACCTTATAATCACTGGAATTTAAAAAAGAAATTACATTAATTGCTGTCTTACTGCCAAACACAATGACCAAAGAAATGGAATTGTTATAAACACTGTTATTGCATCCATTTTTATGGAGTAGAGATCTGTTCCTTTCCCCACAAAGACACACTCTAAAAGAAAATTTTGTCACTTCAGGGATATTTTTCTTGATGAAATTCCATTTGCATATTTCCAAAGCTTACTCCATAGACCAACCTGGCTGGTGCTTTTATTACATTATCCTCTGCAATATTATTTTTACTTGTTAGAACCTTAATAGAATGAGCTAATTTTTAAAAAGAAGTTTCTTATTAAAATGGCATTTGTTCATTAAGATACATTTGTCCTGTCTAATATAAAGAAAAAAAAGCTTTTTAAGAAAAAATGCATAGGAATGTTGAATTTTCAATGCTAGGAAAG